TTCGTCTACAGAAAGCTGGAGTAGCTGAGCTGCTAGGTGAGCTGAACTATAGTTTCCAGAAAAATCCTACTAAATTGATTTTAAAATTATGATTTAGACACCTGCTGTGTTGTCTGCACGTGTTGCTTTATGTTCTTACAACTTACATTTACAAGATTTGAGCAAACTATTAGATCCAGACGGTTTGTATTGGGGGAGGATATGACTGTGTACCATAGTAGACCAACAGATATTCTACTGATCCATGTTTCATTTTATGTAATAATTGAAATTACATGTGTGGTATAAACTGTTAAGGGAAGTGTGCAGTCTGCAAATTCATAAGAGCCCCCCCCCCACCCACTAAACACTGGGTGTTTCTTTTGAAGGTAACACAGTTGTTGCTATTAGGGCTCATTAGCCAGAGCTGTAATCTTAGCCATCTCAGATGTCATTAACTGTTTAAACACCCTACTGAGCAGCAAACCTTCTCTGGGATGTCCTGATCTTCAAAAGAAATGTTTATTATAGTTTCATTATAACTGTCAGGCATGTCAATTTGTCCCGCCAGACAATCACTGTTCAGCAAAGCGACCTGTCCGCCAACAAAACACCTTAACTGTTAGTTAAAAACAAAGTACCAGCTTCTCTCTCCTCTCCTGTGCATGCTTTGATATTGTGCATGTTTGGTAGGCATGGTGAGTCCTTCAGCGCTACATGGGCCAAATCGAGTTCCCTGAATTTGGATATTTACTGTGCCGGGGCCTCCAAATGAGCTTTTGTCAGTGAGGTCAGAATATTCAGCAGCATTGCTGGTCATTACTGATATAAAGAGAAAATGGTGCCTTCACAATAAGTCAATGCTCCAAAAAGGTGTCTCTATTTAGTACAAATATGACCCATGTCTTGCTAATAAAAACTCCTGAAAGACAGAAACAATATTAAAATCTTACGTATAAACACTATAACCTCTATAGGATCACAAACATTCACCAAAAGCAACTCCTATTTCCAACCTCTTCAAAAACATGCTGTTTTTTTTTCCTTTTGTCATTTGCAGACAGAAAACTAATCTGCAACCATTATTGTGGTAATTTATCAAACAAAAATGCAAAATATTCTCCATTTTCCAGCCTCTCAAATGTGAGTTTGTGCTACTTTTCTTTGTTTCATATGATCCAAAGTGAATTAAACAAAATATATATTGAGTTTTGGACTGTTGGGTCAGACAAAACAAAACACTTTGAAGACACTCATGGACTTTGGAAACTTTTTCTGTTGTTTAAATGATTAAACAATTATCAATGAATGGAAAAAGTGCTGAGTTCAGGTGCGTTTCCGTCTTTCCAAGTGCTCATATCTTTAACTTTACATGTCTGTCTTTTCTAAAGACATCGTCACCATCGCGCTAAAAAATATAATTAAGAGGAAAAGAAACGGTGACATAAGACGATTACCAGGCTGAGAAAAAGTTTCATCATGGACCCCAAGGCTCAAGTTGTGAATGGAGAGCCGGGTATAGCACTCACACACACTGAACACATTACCCTCCCCCTCCTATCAACTAAAGCCCCAATCAAAGTGAGATAAAGGTGATTATTTCCCACTGAGAAGCAACAGAGCCAAACACCAGGCCCCGATCGATCACTCTCGCGTTTCCTTTACCTCACCCAATCAATCCCTAATCGATCACTTACATTGGTGTACAGCGCGCAGTCCATTTCGCCGGCTTCAGACAGCTCGCTGAGGTTCCTGTCCCAGTGGAGAAACGGTTCACTACTGTCCAGGATTTCCATGATTCCCTCCGCACACAAACTCTCTCTGTGGCCTTGTGGATGGTTTTATTTTCTCCTCCAGCAGCGACAGAAGAAGAAGAAGAAGAAGAAGAAGAGGCAGCAGCGGGTGTTTGATGCACTGCAGTCAGACTGGAAACCAAACTCAAGCCGGGTAAAAAAGTTTCAAACAACTTATACAGTAAAAAGAAGTTAAAAAAATAAAATAAAATACACAAACAATATATTAACACATCCAGGTGGTTTAGACTCAGAGGGATTTCCGTGGGTTATGTCAGAAAGCTGCAGCAGTCAGATTGAAGCTGAGTGTTGTTATTGTTGTTGTTTATCATCTCCTCTCTGGTTCAGGGGTGTACGAGCAGCTTTTAGCAAACTCTCCTTCCTTTTCTTTCCTCCTGCTGCTCCTCCTCACAGCCCAGACACACAGGAATGTGTGGGCGGAGTCACACAGAGGCAGACAAATTAGATTAAAACATGAAAACAAAGTCAAGAAATTCAAGAAATTAATAAGATAGTACGACTGTTAATGCAAATGCTGAATAAAACATTAGAGTTTACATGTAGGATATATTTTTTATCTGTTCCAGCTGTTTATGACAATGTCAATTGTCTACATTAACAAACTGAAGCTTCCGGTCCTACATTTCAGAATAAAACCACATGCTCGCTATTGATGCAGACAGCAAATTTAAAATTATAGCTACTAAAGATAAAAATTTGCCTTTCACTTTTAACTTACGAGACAGCCTCAAAGTCAATGAGGAAGATCGTTTGATATGATCAGAAGTCACATAACAGACACAATATTACTCAATGGACTTCTGCATGAGTGGTCAGTTGTTCTGTGAACTTTATATCTTTTTCTAAACTTTGTTGCTATATTATGATGTTTTTAGGTAATAAAATTCAATGTTTAAGCCTTTAATTGAACTGAGATAAAACATTATTTTGACACCTATTGTCAACATAAGAAAGTGATCAATTGTCTTATTTTTATTTCTCATTAATTACAAAGAAACTAAAAAGGTTTAAATAAATGTAAATTACAAAAATTAAACATACACACACACACAAACACAAACCCTCTAGTCTTTTTGTTATATAGATGTATATTTCAAACTACCAAAAGTATTTTTTAAAGAAATAAAAAATATTTCCATGTATTTTGTCAGCTGTTCTTTTTGGCTTTTATTTTGAATTCCACTTTACTCATTTCCGTCATCTTGACGCAGCTTCTCGAAACTGAATCCACAGGTTTCCCAGCCCCGCCCACATTCCGCAGACCGACCAATCAGATCACTTCTTGTTTAAAGCCCTATTGACTGTGCAGCTTGACCCTTATGAGCCCTTAACGGACAGGTGAAGCAGCCAATCAGGTAACACTTTGAGAATTCCTGCGACCAATCACTTTAGGCCAAGAATACCTTTGACTTAATCCCGTCCCCGTTGTCGCAGAAAAGGCCAATCAACGTTCACTAATGAAAAGCATTAAATAAAGTTAACATGCCACAAGAAATTCTTTCTTATAGTGTTTTATATTTTCTTAAAATAAACTTTAATATAACTTTATGAAATTATCTGGCATTTATTTTCTTTGATTTTATGATTTATATGTTACATTTCTACGTTTGTTTTTGAAGCTTAGATGTAACTTTTCTCCATTCGGTCCTCTATAAAAAGCTTTGTTAGTGAGTGAAGAGTTATCACCGTTAAATTAAACGTACGTTTAAATCACACATGCTCTGAGATGAACACAAATGTGAAGACAAAAATATTCTGGAAAAAGATCTATTACAGCAAACAGTACAGAGAAATGAACCAGTGGTGAGCTGAAACCAACCAGTCACTGAGGAGGAAGGAAATGAAACACTAACAACTGACAAGAGAATGACAGAGCAGAAAACAAGAGTAGATAAAATTTTAAAATCTATCAAATACACACAGTAATGTTCGGTTATTACTATGCACAATTCAGGGTTGTGAACAGAACAACAAAATGCAGCAGAAACAGAAAAGAAATTGTGAATTTAATTGAACGTGCCGCCTCCAACTTTGCATGCTGGTCTCTTGTCTTTTTTACACTGAAGTGTTTGAGTAATCTACACATTTCTCTCCAGTTCATGACATTTGCATGAAGAGAAGTGAAAGACAGCTGACATTTGGCACAGAGGTCAGTCAGACAGCTACATAACACTGTTGGTTTTTCTCTTTATGGGATTTGTGAACACTCAGGTAAATGCTGAATATTGACAGGTTTTATCCTCTAACAAGCTCTTCGTTTATCCTTTAAAAGCCCTCTTCACATGACCAAATGTTACTTTATCTCACACGTGTCCACAAACTTCTGAGTAGCATGTTACAACATCAGTGCAGCACTTGAGATGCGAACAGTGTGTTTCCTTTACAGCAGCGCTCTCAGATCAGCCAAGCGCACAGTTCCACGTGTTGAGTAGAGCATCATCACTTGTGGTTATTACAAGCTTTATTCTTGCAGATGAGATGTTAAAATTTAACTCCACAAAATAATAATAATAAATTGTCGACCTCCCTTGGCTGTGCTTCGGGTGAGCCTTTCTTTTAGAGTTAGGAGGAGACATTTTGGTGTTGGTTATAGAGAGCTGTTGGTCATAGTTTGGTTGTTTAAGTTGGGTGCTGAATATTAAATATAGACACTCCTGTAAAACAAAACACCTTTTTTTTTTGAGTGTCAACTTTTCATGAACTATAGGAAACAGCCCTGTTTTCAGCTTTACGATGACACATTTTTCAGATAATCCAATGTTTTTTGGGTTTTTTTAAACAGGTGGTTATTTTAAGAAGTTGAAGAACATTTTCAACACTTTAGTTTATCTAGAAAAAAAAAACAGCTCACATAATCGGGCAGAAATTATGTGACATAAAGAGCTAATTTTGCTCCGACTTTGATGCATTTATGATAACTTTAAAATAAAAAGACATGGGGGGGAAATATAATGTGAAAAGTTTAATATGCTGGCTAAAATTAACAATAAGTTTAACATATGAGGGAGCTTGAGAAGTTGTTTTACAGGCGACATCTGGCCACCAAAGAAAAACCAAATAACGTTTGTCTGTGATCTTCAGCACGAGTAAGAGTTGCTCAACAAAGCTACAACTTCGACAACTTGTACGGACTTCAACGCCGCAACATTTTTCCACTGTATTATAATATTTCAGATCTTGCTTCCAACATTACTCTCACACACAAAATTTGGGTATATGCAAAAAAACCAAAACTATCTTTGCAACTGTTATGTACAAGTAGCACTATCAAAAATCATAATGAGCAAGTGTATTTATACTACACAAGTCCGTCAGCTTCTCTTCATGCCTTAAGGTCTGCAGGAGGCATCACAGTCAAACATGACCACAGAGTGTCACAGCATATTCTGTCCCCCTTCTCATCAGTAAGTCAGTTCCTTTACTTGGTGGTGTTCAGGTCCTCAGATTTTTGTATAAATGAGAAAATACAAAAAGAAGTTGACTTGTTTTTGCTTGGAGACGAAGAGAAAAGTCCTTCAGGGTCTGTCTCGAATGTTGTCGCTGAGGAAGATGATGTTGTCTGGAAAGGGAGAGATTGGGAAATAATTTTATAAAACGAAGTTGGCTCATTCACGGTGTCCGTTAGAGGCTCACGTGTTTGTTCTCTGACCTGCGATGATGGTGGTGGCCTGGCGTCTGACTTGGTTCTTGTCCACATACTCTCCGTAGTCCAGTTTCCCCTCCACTAGAATCCTGGACCTGAAGAGGAAGGGCTCGGGATCGGTCACATGATTCACACAAAGCTTTAAAAGATTGAGTTTTTTGTTTAATGGCTGCTCATTTTACATTTTTAGTTCTGCATTCCCCCATTTCCACAGCCACCCAAATAAAGGGCCTCTAACTTAAATGGGATTTCTACCTGGAGCTTTCGGCAAAAGTTGTATGAACCTCCTAAATATGATTATGATGATAAGATTGTGTCTATAAAGTTATGATGCATCAGCTGACCTAAAGCTTTTTTGTCCAGATTAAAATTTAGACCTTCAAATAGAGAGTTACTTAGAGAATTACACTCTATTGTAAATCTACTTTAGCATCAAATCAAATTCCCTGTAGGATTGAAAAATCTGTAAATTAAGCTTTATGAAGTCTAGATTTTGTTGTTGATTCACTTTTGACGCAAGTGTCTGTCCGACACAAAATTAAAGAAGTACCACAGCACACATAATTCTACGTCAGCGTATCAATATATGTGGTGATATATTCATGTTTCCTGAAAATCAGTGGAGAAACAGTTAATTGATAAAATAGCCAGATAGGAATTTTCTGTTATTGGCTGATTCAGTGAAACTGAAACATCATCTCATTGATGTTAAAACCAGATAAAGTCTAATAGCACTGCCCACAACAGCTGAATACAACCCGAAATATTACAGGGATGGAAACCACGGTGTTAACACTACAACAACAGTTCGTATTGTCCAAACTTAGCCATGTCATGCAAAGTGTTTCTTGATTCCTCGCTGACAGAAAACAGCAGCTGTTTTCTTCTTAAATTAGATGTGAGATCTGGAAACACACGAAGCATAACATACAGATGCACAGCGGTGAGGTGGATTATGCTGCAGAGGAGTGGTTAGAGACTTTTTTATGTCTTTATTTGTGTTATGAAATCACCGCAGGAATCCTCTGCAACTCAAATAAACTCTAGCTGACCGCTGCTACTGTTTGGGATGAAGGGGAAAAACTAGATACGTTTCAAGACGTGTGTAGTGCTTTAAGAAGCTGAAAATATGTGTCGTAGCGTGTCACGTGAGATGCCAACACGAGGGTGTCTCGCCCCTGTGATGAATAGTGCAAACGACTTCCATCCCGCAGGAATCCCACAGGAATACCGTGACCCACAGGATTCCTGAAAAAATGTCAGCCTCCAACGCCAACCACATGACCAAAACGCCTCTGGGAGAATATGTTGCGCGATCCCCGTCTCCGCCCACACTTCCTGTCCGCCTGTCTAGGAGTACTCAGATCCTTTACTTAAATAATACCACAATGTAAAAACAAGTTAAACTTGAACTTTACTTGAATAAATTAGTACATTTTTTAAAGTATCACAAGTACTCAATGGCTATTCGGAGGGTTAAATACCTTCAAGGTCCTGAAAGATGATCATTTGCACACACAAGTTATTATTTTGACTTCAGGGGCCTTTACCACAAAGCAAGTTCAACATACAGGATTTCTTTTCGTTATCTGGCTTCACTAACCCAA